AAAGATTTATAAATATGATTAATTAATTTTAATTAATTTTAATTAATTTTAATTAATGATAAATTAATCATTTAATTAAATCAATTATCTTAGTTAATTAATTTAAGTCCTTAATTTCCTTTAATCTTGCTAAAAGGCAAAATTATCTTTCTTTGTTTCAATTTTACCCAGAACTTTCAAGATTAAGCAATTTAGACCACATGTTTCAACTTTTTTCAAATCAGTCCTTCATGTTTTGAATTTAACCAAATCAGTCCGCCATGTTTTGAATTTGATCAAATTAGTCCTTTAACTTTTATTTATGTTCGCTTCGCATGTATGTTCTTGAATTCGTCCATTTTAGTCCAAAAACCTAAAAAATGTTTCAATTTGGTTTAATTTTTTTAGTTTGCTTATTAAGACTCAAACATAAATATAATAAGTAAGTTGAATTAAAATCCCAATTTTAAAGTATGCAACCGTGTTTAAATGGAGGATTGTGAGGTGCGCGTATGCCCTTCCTCACTCCTAACCGAACCCCGATCTCTGTGCAGACCTGTTTTAGGTGACTTGTCCCACCTTATAATTTGGACGAGTGGCGACTCCCTTTTTCTTATATATTTCACACTTGACTTTTTCATATATTTTGAAAAAGAAATCTCAAGTGGTCGTCAACAGAGAGTATTGTATTGAATATCTTTACCTACCTACATGAGCTTTGACTTGAGATTTTGATCTTTGAGAGATCTTTATTTGTAATCCTCTTCTTGTGCTATTAGTGAGTGATCTTGGGGGTGTGTTGATTCCTTCAAGAGTGATCTATTGAGAGGATTTGTGGGATTTACATTGTAAAGGGGTGGGGTTTGAGAGAAATACTCATCTTGTTGTAAAAGGATTGAGTGGCTCCTTTAAGTCACCCTTGTTGTTGTTACTGGAGAGTTTGGAGGAAATCCTTGGTGAGTGAAGCCAAGGTAGAGGACTAGGCTCCGAGTGGTTGGACCAAACCTCTATAAATCATTGAGCAAGCTCTTCTTCTCTACTCTCTTTAATTTTGGTTTTGTGGTTGCAAAAATGGGAGAATTTTTGGAACTCCAATTCACCCCCCTTCTTGGAGTACATTGAGTCAACAGAATTTGCCATCCCCATCCAGAGTATGAAAAGAACACATTCAAAAGTGATGATAAAATTGAGAATTCTTATAGCTCTACGAAGCACATGAGCTTCAAGGTAAAGCCTGTTTTAAGTGGAAAGTTGGAACCTGCCACTGGGTTTTTTCCTCCTCCATCCCTGAATGCAAGCACAATTGTTATTTGAATACATAAAAAATAGGCCCAAGCAACCATTCAGGAGGAGGAATTTAAGGGCCAAATGGTAAACAAGAACTAGAAAGTAGAAACTTACAGAGGCAGCATAGTATACAAAGGTCAATCCTGCTAGAACGACAAATGCAATTTGAAACACACTATACCTTTAACACAACCAATGAACCCAACATGATCAGCAAAAGGAAAACATGCATATAAGTAAAAACATAAAGTAAGACTCACTTGTACAAATATTTAATCCCACGAAGAGACTGCAATGTATGGCCAAATATTTCTTGTGCAGCAATTGCTTAAGCATAATACCCAAATGTTGTGGAGCAGAACTATATTACACTGAAATTGCAAAGACAAAGTCCCATCAAATAACATTAGAAAACACTTAAGAAATGGTGGAAAGACAATCTATCTTCACAATTTCTCTAATAAATCCTCACTATTACAAGTCAATCAGGATGGTGAAAGTATCACTCTTTGATAAACAGACAGTATTGTATTTTGGCAAACACCTAAAGATAATGTAAAAAAAGAGTGTTAAGTAACCAACATGGCTGATTGACATGGTGAAATGGAGGTCATTGAAGGTAGGTGGCATGGGATATATTTTAATCAAAAGAGTTAAGAACAGACTAAGCTTCTTACATGCTGCTGGTCAAGATAGGCTAGGTACTTCATAATCGTTTTCTCAACCTCCACAATAAGTAGCCTTCTCTGGATACGAGCAACTCTTCCCCTGCCTTCTGCTCTTGTATCCTTAATTAAAATAAAAGATATCAAATGCCTTGCAGAATGAAAACAGGCCAGAGAAGCTTAATATTGCTGATTCTAGTGAACACAAGAATA